AAGCCAATTAACATCCTCTCTGGCTGCTGATAAAGGCTGTTTTCTTTTCCAGTTAATGGGCATGAACTTCTGCCGCTGAGAGAGCGGTGGCATCTTACATAATGGCTGTTCCCTGGTGACCCAGCCCCGACCAGCTGTTGCCCGTCTCTCCCTGCTGCATTCCCTTCTACTTGGGTCTTCCAGACAAACTGGCCTCTGCAAGACACAGAACATCCCCCTGTCAATCACTGTCCTGGGTCCTTTCAACACTGGGCTGCTGACACCTGCTACCAACTGCACTTGAATGACCGACAACAAACCAAGGTACTCAACGCTACTCATGCTCCTCTCACAAGAGGGTACACCTGTGGAAAGCCCTCATCCCCAAAAAAGTCTTTTGTGTTTTCGCCGTGGGGAGCCTAGCACAGTGCTTGTTATCTACTCAATTATTTGCTGGCTGAAGTCACTAATTGTTTGGACATACCAGGTTTTGCTTGGGCTGTACTCTCCCCACCCTGTGCCTGGCAAACTCCTCTGCAGCCTGCAAAGCCCTTCCTAAATGTCCTGGCCTCGCCTCCCAGAACTTAGTTGCTCTGCCCTATGCTGAGCACTCTGTGGTTCCCTGTGGCACGAGACGGGGCTGCTTTCCACTGGCTTCCCTGGCTGGGCTGGAGGGGGGGGGTCTGTGAGAGGCAATGCCCGGGGCTGTGTTCAGGGTCCTTGCTTAGCAAGCAGTCAGAGGCACATACCTGCCAACAGGGGCTTCTGCTGTCTGTCATCTGGCCCCTCGGGCACCCTTCCCAGGGCAGCAGAAATGCACCTCTTCTATCCTGTCCATGTCCTTCCCCAAGTAGGACCATATAGGTTCCCAGCCACACCACGCTGGTGTTGCGGGAAGATGGGGTCGGGCATGTGACCCTGGGCATGTTACTAAACCTCCCCAGGGGGCGCCTGGGTGGCTCAGTCCGTTAAGCATCTGCCTTCAGCTCAGGTCATTATCCCAGGGTGCTGGGATCGAGCCCCACATCGGGCTCCCTGCTCAGTGGGGAGTCTGCTTCCCCCTCTCCCTCGGCCTGCCTCTCTGCCTACTTGTGCTCTTTCTTCCTCTGTTAAATAAATAAATAAATAAATAAAAATAAATAAATAAATAAATAAATAAATAAACAAACCTCCCCAGGCCTCCGTTTCCATCCGTTACTCTATTCCCAGGGTAGCGCTGGTCAGCTGGGTCACGGGTGTGGGTAAGTATCATTCCGCCTTATACTAAGGAGTCAGACGGTCCTACTGAGTGGGCCTCCCCAGTTTCTAGATCTCACCATTCAGCCTGCATCCCCCATGCCAGAGCCTCTGAAAGAGCTAAGCATCAGGTCCTGGTGTCCAGCATCACCCCACCCCTGCTTTCTCCAGGTTCACCTCCCCAAAGCGTTAAACAGAAGCTGGCTGGCGGGGCCCTGCTGCCCACCACATGACAATGGTTTAGGAAGCACGTGTTCCAGCCAAGTGCTCTGCCAATGCCAGCGCCCCTGTCCCACACAACGGGCGGTGCCATCTCCCACACTGACATTCAGAGCTAGCTAACACTTGGCTTTGACCAGTGAGCTCCAAGCTAAAGGGGCTGCTCACAGCCCCCAAACCTATCCCTTCTTCAAGGCCTGGCTCCCACATGTCCCCTTGCCAGCCCAAGGCTAGACCAGCCTAAGGCCTGACCAGTAATAGGTCCTGTCTGCCTGTCCAGTCTGCTGGAAGCCGGGCCGGCCAGCCTCGTCCCTCCCCTCCTTCAGGACAGGATCTTTCTCCAGCTCTGGGCTGCTACTCCAGGGAGTTCTAGGAACACCTGTCCCAGAATCCCCAAGACACTTGTGCGGGATTCCTGAGCTCCTCCTCAGGCTTAATTTGGGGTCTGCTTAGTGAGGCCTGGGAACCTGCCCTTACGGCAAGGACACATACTGCATACTGGATGGGACTTGGGTCAGCATGGCTAATTAACACTGAATGGAAACATGTATGTTCTCTTTTTCCACTCATCCCATGGCAAAGGCACATGACCTAGAGATGGAATAACGGTGATGACATCTGTCGGGAGCACTTCATGGGCACATTTCATCAAGGCAGGCTTGCAACTGGTCACAAGGTGTTGTCACCTCCTGCCCCGGTCCTGGTCCCCTGTGCTGGGGAGGCATGGGTTGGGCTGCTAAGGGCTCTGAGCTCAGGTATGGTGACCGTGCCTTGTTGGCAGTGGCCTCGAGGTGAGTCCCCTCCTGTGCCTGTTATGGGCTCCATGGACCAGGTCCCTCAATCTCCTCTCACACTCTTTGCCTTGTGTTCCCAAATACCCAGGCTCTCTTGTTCCCTTTGGTTGCAATGCTTTGCCATCTAGCTAACTCCTTGCTGGCTTTCAGATCTCTGAGAACCTTCTGCTCCCTGAGTTAGCAACCCAATCCTCTGCTATAACTCATCAATTACAGAGCTCTGGTCATTTGGTGAGAACGGATCCACATCTCCGTCCCCTACCCTTCTGAGCCCCAGTGTTTCTGCCTCCTCTGCATCTGTCCCTGTCTCACAGGTATTTACAGACTGTAGAACAATGGTATGGTCAGGCTTCAAGTTCATTCCATTCCTGGAGCCCAGGCTCCAGGCACCGTGGTGGCATTTCGGCCGTCTTAAAGACGCCCATGTCTAACAGCAGCATAAAGCATGAATGCCACCGGTGACTTGCCTAAGGGACAGGGGTCTGGATTTGGGCTGACCCGCGTCCATCTTGGCTCCTGTTATGTTCTCCCCTTGGTGACTCTTCTACAGACTGGGATGATCTAGGACCAAGCTCACAGTCCAGTAAACACACGCTGAGGGCGGGCAAAGAGCAAAACATACATGCAACACGTTCGCTTGTCTGCGTCCTTGCTAGCTCTGGGCAGATGCCTCCACCTTCCAGCAAGAAGGCAGGTTGAGTGAGGGGCTGCCCACTTCAACCGCCCAGCCCTGTTTTGCCTGAAACAGCAGAGGCAGCTACACACACACTTCTTTGAATAACATCCTGGCAGAAATTCTGGCTTTGCAGCTGGAGGGGTTAAATGGTGCCCCCCCCCCAAGTTCATGGCCATCCAGAATCTCAGAAAGTCACCATATTTGGAAATAGGGTCTCTGCAGGTGAAATGAGTTAAGGATATTGAGATGAGATCAAACTGAATTTATGGCGGGCCCTAAATCCCACGATGGGTTTCCTTGTAAGAATTAAAACACAAAGGGAAGAGCGGTGTGTGAAGATGGGGGCAGAGACTGGGTTGAAGTGGCTGTAAGCCAAAGCCCCGAGGACTGCCAACAGCCACCAAGCCAGGAGAGGGGCCTGGTGACATTCTCCCTCAGGTCCCCTGGGAGGAAGCGACCCTGCAGTCTTAGTCTGTTGGGGCCGGTGACAGAAGACCATAGCCTGGGTGGCTTCCAGACAATATGTCTCACAGTTCTGGAGGCTGGGAAGTCCATGATCAAGGTGCCAGCAGACTGCGTGACTGGTGAGAGCCCTCTGCCTGGTCCATAGATGGCTTCTCAATGTGCCTCACCAAGCAGAAAAACCAAGGGCCCGCTTGTAAGGCCTCTGACCCTCCTGACCTAATCACCTCCTCAAGGCCCCACCTCCTAAAGCCATCACGTTTGGATTAGCTTTCAACACAGGAATTTCGGGAGATAACCATCCATCTCTAGCACCTGGCAACACCTTGATTTTGGCCTTCTGACCTCCACAACTATGGCGGAGTGACTCCCTCCTGTCTGAAGCCACCCAGTTTGTGGTAATCTGTTACAACAGCCCCAAGCCGCTGACAAGACAGGAGTCTAAGGCCAATGCTCCCGGCACCAGTTGGTGCCCTGCCCATGGCCCTGAGGTCATTCCTCCCCTCCCTGGATCTCTCAGGCCACCCTGTTGACACAGCTCTGACAGAAAACCTGGCTTCTGCTGACCTTTGTTGCGACCCTAGAATCCAAGCACTCAGCTGCAGCAAAAGGTACTCAGGAAAGAAAACAAACGTTGACAAGCATATTTTAAAAATAGCGTAGTGACGGGGAGGGGCTGCCAGGGGCCATGTTCTACCTCTTCAGCTGAGTGTCAGCTTTGTTGTCCTTTACACTCTCTTTTCACACGCACATTATCGACTTGCTATTAAGAAATATTTCGCACTCCAAAGAGAAAATATAACGCATTTTTAAAAGAGCTGGTTGGCAAAACCCAATCAAGCTAATAGTTCTGATCATCTCAGCAGTCTTCTAGTGTCTAACTGCCAAAACCGAAGAACAAAAACAGGACGACAGGTGGGAAAAGGCCTGGCCTCAGTCTGATGATGCCCTCCACCTGGCACCAACGGCGGGAAACAGCTGACAACTTCCCCCAAAAGATTTAACATCTGACTTATCTCAATCTCATCTGACAGTCAAGTTCTCCTGCTGGATCCAAAGGGAAAAACAAAAACTTAGTAACAGCCAACATCTTAAATCTTCCCTCCCAGGACTGTAGCCAATGCCCAGGTCTGTCTCTTGCAAGTAACGGACCCCCCCCCCCCAACCCGGCCCCCCGCCAAACCCAAGGTTTCCTCCAGAGCTCTACAGAGGAGGGACTCAAATATTCCTTGGATTGAACTTTAGTCCAACTGGGGAAGAGGAATACAGATATAATGTTTAATCACCACTGCACGGACCAGAACACCCAAGAGATGGACAGAAAGCCCAGAAGTGGCGTTCAAAAGGATCTCTAGGGCGGCGCTTTACCTATCAAACTGGAGAAACCAGGACACTTGATTGTTAAGTGTTCTGGCTGCTGGGAGAGGAAACAAGCAATCCAGTTTTACAGCAGAGAGAAATCTGAGGGCAGCACAAAGTCTCTGGAGGAACACTACCATTTCAATGGACATGCCCTTTGGCCTGGCCTCTCCTAGGAAGCTCCCTGAAGACCAGGAGGTTTCAGAAGCATCTGGGCTGGAACCCACACACGATCATTGCGTCTCTGCTCCTGCCTGGGTCCATCTATTCATTTCAGTGCAGCTTGTAGGAGAAAATATAAGTGACAACTTCAACAGTCATCAGCAAGCGACTGGCTATAAAACTGGCACACCCATTTGGTAAGACTCTCAGGTAAATCTATCAGGGGTTTAAAAGAGGTGGGGGATATACAAGCCACAGATTATCTCTGGTAGGAACCAGGGCAAGTTGACAATGGATGCTTCCAGAAGGGTACAGGGTGCAGACAAATCCGCCTGGTTTTCACTGTATGTCCTTTTGTATCTTTTTTAACCATATAAGTCAATTACTTTGTCCAAGTTTATATATTTGCATATGTATATATGTAACATAAGTACATCTGTAGTATATAAAACGTGTGTATATGCACATATAAACATGTATGTATACATCTACAGATATACACACATACACACATGCACATACATAAACACAAACATTTTAAATGACACTTTTGGAAAGTGGACAGAAAACCCCCTTGGCTTCGGTTTCTGAAGGTGAAGGTGACACGACCCTCTGGCATATTCTGGCACCATCTTTGCCAGGAAAGACAGAGGGGGTGAGACACTATACAGACTTCACAGGAAACCACACCGTGTTATGACTTTTCCACAACAAAGCTACTGTCTCCTTCTATGCTGCACGCTTGCAAATCATACTCCAGGGAACTTACACAGTTCCAGAAAGATCATTACTCCCAGCACCTCATCAGTTTTATAGTTTGGCTCAGAGTGGTTATAGTATTAGCTCTCCTCACTCTGAAGAGTGTTTTCCCTACTCTCTAGGTTTATCGGCTTTAAGAGCCCAAGGAGCTCTTGAGGGTCAGCAAGGGGCTTCCGACTGCAAGAGCTGGGGTCAGAGGCCGGAAGCCTGTAACTCCCTCCCAAGCGACCCAGCTGCTGGAGGCAGCCAAGGTGTTGAAGTCCTGCTCCTGCAGTGTCCCCGCCCCCACCCAGCCAGGGACACTGAGACACGTGCTACAGCAACGATCAGGGGCCGCCCCTTCCAGCTCAGTCTTTCCGGACTCAAAGTCATGACTCCTGAGGAACAGCTGCAGAGAAGGTGGGGGTCCCCTCCCCTACCAACCCCTCAGAGAAAAGCACAACAGATGGGCAAAAATGGGGAAGGTCTATTCAAAGAAGGGTCAGCAAAGCTCAGGGAGGGATGGGGTCTGCCTCCCCAATTCAAGTCTCTTTATGTTTGTTGCTGATAAAATGGAGATAATTCTGGGTTTGTGTGGCCAAAGGGGTTATTGTAAGCCTGGAAATCATTTTACAGACTGTCAAAAAAGAAAAGATAACATCTGGGTGGGCTCTTCTTTTGGGTGGGGGAGGGTGATATCCTGAGATTGCCAGGCTTGGGTGAATGTTGGGGGACCTGGGTGTGTGGGGGGGGTTGCGGTTCAAGGATTACAGAGAGGGGCACAAATACAGGTGCACATTTAAGAAAGTACATGTGGGCACATAGACTGGGGTGTGTGATGGAGAAGGCCTGGAAACTGCACAGGGCAGGTGGAGGGATAGGGGAGATTACCTGAAGGCCCTGACCCAAGTGGCTGAAGGAAGGAAGGAAGCAAGAGAGGGGCACAGACCTGGACGTGAGCAAAAGCAGTGAGGGGATATGAACCGGCCCAGGTGTGAGTGGGAGGCCATGAGTTGGGCACCACAGGCTCAGGCATAAGGCTCTGCTCCGTGACAGAGGTGGGGGGTGCATGGATCTGGGTGTGGAGGTTTCATCAAGAGGAAGGATTTTAGGTGATCTGGGGGGTATCCATAAGGACGGGGGCGGTGGCTGGTGTGTGAGGGAGAATATCAGTGGGGACACGGACTCAAGTGCGTGTGGGTGTGAAGATCCAACTATGCCAAGCGCCTGGAGACACGGTCCCAGAGGTGTGGGGGATGTCAGCGAGGTGGACAGTCTCAGGTGTATGGGGGGGGGGGGGTCAACAAAAAGGGACATGGTGTCAGGTGTGCGCGGACTGTGAGGGTTCAGATCCGGCTGGGAGGGCCCCCAAAGAGCACCAGACGCGGGGTGTGTGTGGGGCGGGGGGCTTTAACCTCTCCCTACCCCTGCGACGCTGCTGTCACGCCCTGTTTCGTCCGCCCCCGCCCCCGGACCAACGACAAGACCGTGCCTCGCCCTGGCTCGGCCCGAGGGGCGCGGGCCCCCGGACGCCTGCGTCACCCCGGGCCCTCTGCTCCCCCTCACCGGCTGGGACGCGTCGCCTTCACCACCACCGCCGCCGCCGCCGCCGCCACCGCCGCCTCCGGCCACCGCGGCTCCGCCTCACGCACCACCCCTCCCAAGCGCGCGCGGCGGGAGGGGTTCACGCCACGCTCCGATTGGCTGCACGATGACCAATCGGCGTCGAGAAAGACAACGATTGGTTGTCATGAAACAGACGGGCAGCCCCCAAGGCCAGTCACTGATGGGTAGAGGCGGGCTATTGGGTAAGGTTTTCGGTCCCAGAGGTGGTCCTGCAGGGTGCGAGGTGCTGGAGGTGAGAGCGGGGCGGTAGGCGAGGATTGGAGCTCTGGCGGAAGACGAGCATCCCTAATGACCAATCCCTGAGGGGCAAGGGTAGGGCTCCGAAGTGGCTGGAGCGGTTGGCGCGAGAAGAACGGAGGGCGTAGCCTAGAGGGCGATGAGGATTGGCTGCGACGCCGAAGACAGGCAGGCCCTGCGCCGATCGCAGGGGCCGTGGGCGGTGCGCCTCGCGACAGGGCAGGAGAGCGCAAGGTGCAGAGTTTGGCCGGGAGCGCGGCGGCGGTAGGTGGCCTCAGGTGCCCCGGGCCGGGTACCCTGAGGCTGTGTCGAAGAGGCTGGCCCTCGGACCTCGCAGCGCGGAGGCAGGACCTCCAACTCTGGCTGTGAACAGGGGCCATCGCAGCTGGCAAGACTCCTGGATGATTTTACATTCCTTCACTCCCCGCTATTTCCTTGCCAACTACAAGGAGAAGGCAGACTCTCTGAGGTCACTCAGGCTTGTCCTCTGCAGCTCCGGGTTGTTGTGAAGCCGCGGAAACAGGTGGAATCCTACCCATGAGCTTTATGGCTTTCTGCAAGTATTGTACTTGTCTGATTTCAAGCTTTCTCGTTTACGGGATCCAATGACAGCCCCATCCGGCCTCCTCCCGGATAAGCCTCTGTGAATCAACTGAAAACTAACCACTATCTCATGAGGTCAAAGCGACCACTGGCCATTTTACGGTAACAGAGTGCAGAGAGGTCCAGCTCCTTGCCCACAGTGCTTCAAGTGGCTGAATCTAAGGGTGAATTTAGAGCAGCCTGCTCTTTGGAAGTGGGGTAAGGCAGTGTCAGAGAAGAGCCACCAGGGCCCTGAGCCATCTGGGCCGATTCCACGTCCAGCCACTGGCCCAAATCCATGTCCAGCCATAGGCCCAAGACATAACCTTGGGCAAGGTGGTTGTGGATCAGTTTCCTCAGAGGACAGTGATTCCTACACCTTGATCTTTCCTCTTTTAGACTGCTCCCCTGGGAGAACTTATATCCCAGCCCTTGCCTTGACCTTCTGGTGAAAGCATTGAACCCTCAGCAGGGCCATCTGGCCCAGGAGCCTCAGCTTCTCTGTGAGGTGAAGTTCATGGGATTCTTTGAAGACAGATGCCAGCAGTTTAGAGAAGACACCTGCCATCCAGTGCTTCGCTGTGTCCCTGGCACCCCCAAGTCCACCCAGTTCTCTGACTCACCAAATGCACTCTCCTAATCTCGAGGGCAGAAAGGGTTACAAATGTTCCCAGATACTGGCTCTTATTTCCTCTGGGTGCTGGCTAGGGTTGGTGGAGATCAAGTTCAGAACCAGGGAATGCTGGGAGGGAGCAACCTGAAGCTAGGCCTTAATCAGGGTTCACATTTCAGGGTTGGGCAAGTCCCCTGCCTAGTGCTTGATCCACAACATCTCAAAGGGCTGCTGGTAAGGAGGATGGTAAGGAGGACGGGGAAAACACTGAGGCTCACACTGTCAATGTCACTAGCCTGAGGCCACCATCTGACTCAGGATATTCCCGTGATAGTCCCACCTGGGCCTCTCCCATACCTCCCTACTGTGGTTTGCTTCCCAGCCAACTTCCAGGCCCTGATCTCCATTCTGCTCTCTGGACAAGCAGAGGACGTTGAGGTCCGCTGCACACCTAATGGGTGTCAGATCCTTACTGGGGGATTCCCAGATGGTGGGGGGAGGGGACAGCACCCACTTTGCCCATGAGAAAACTGAGCCTCACACTACAAGTGTTCCTTGCTGAAATGGCCAGAGGCTGGGTTTGAATCCCTGCTGTTTTCTACTTGCTGACCACCAGACCTTCAGCAAATGACTCAAATTCTCTGCTTCAGTTTCTCCAACTACCTCCCAGGGTTGAAGGCAGCACTAACGAGATGAATGGAAGTAAAACACTCACAACTTCACTGGTCCACAGCCAGCGCTTTTTGAGTGTTGGTGATAGATAAACTGTTCTCGGGGCCTGTTTCCCTTTCTGTAAATAGCACTTCATGGAATGTGGACATAGACCAACTATGGGTGGGGTTTGCCACCCAAAGAGGGAGAGATATTCATGCTACAGGAGTCCCTACCCACAGGACCCACCTGTCAGGTCCTGGGAGGGAGGCAGCAAGCTCCTGGAAGGTCTCACGGTACTCCCAGGGACAGTGCCAACTGAGGCAAGGGTCAGGCAGCAGCCCAGCACCAGGCTGCCTCCTCTGAGAGTGCCAAAGGCACTGCCTGGGCTCTGGCTTCTTTTGCTTGTCAGCATGCTGGCGCCGGTCAACCTCCCTGCCACCTTCCAACAATGGCCAGTAATGCCCCTTGGCCCCAGCGACTGACACGCCCACTGTGGGCACTTCAGCTGTGCCTGGCCAGGGTGCCTGGGATCCCAGCTCTTCCATGTCAGCCTGGCTGGCTCTAGGCAGGACACTGTCTCTCTGTCCCCCAGTCTCCTCTAGGTCTCGGAGATCCCTGGAATCATCTGACACGATGGCTCTGAGCCAGGCCTGGGCAGAGTGACAGGGCTTAATCAATGGAGGCCAGAGAGCCATTTGCCCAAGTTCAGGTTAGCAATGCTGGCAAGAGAGGAGGGGCATGCAGGCAGGCCAAGCTGGGTTCTCATCCCACCGTGGCCCCTCAAAGGCCAGCGAGTCTATTTCTCATCTGAGAAATGGTGTGCATAGGCCCTGCTTCTCAAAGATGTGTGTATAAGCCAGGACCCTGGGTCCTTCCCTGGGTGGAGGGGTACCTGCTGAATGCAACAGTGATGTCACCCAAACCCAGCCGATGTCAACGCCGTTACAGTCAGCCTCCCAGAGATTCAGAGAGGCTGCGCCACTCACCCAAGAGCGCACAGCAGTAGAGACATATAGCCTGAATGTGCCGGCCCCTCCCCTGCAGGGGTTTCCTCTTCAGCTCTGGTTTCCAGGTCATCAACGGAGATGGCAAACACTCTTTAGAGAGGGGCTGTGTACCTTACTGGGGCTGTGGTCCTGTATAGCAACACACTTACTCTGTTTTCAGGGGAGGGGAGGAGGCTGAGGTTCACCTGAGGCGGTAGAGCAGGGACTGGAAGCCAGGTTTGGCCAACCTCAATTCTGTGCCTACCCACTCTGGGGACCTCCAAACAGACCCTGAGCCATGCTCACTGACGAAGTCTGTTCCTTCAGACTAAGGTGGAAAGGATGGAGAAGCTAGAGCCCTGCCTCGCCAGAGAGGCCTGCAACTGTAGGAAGGCTGGCCAGGAGCTCGTCGGGGGAGAGGCCTAAAGCTGTGGGGGCAGAGGCCTTCCCTCTAAACCACCCCCTTATTATTTAGGTGTATATTCAAAAACATTCAGAGGAAGCTGGAGCAGAGCAGGGAGACGGGAGCCTGCTTACATGCAATTCCTGGGCAGTAGGGATAAACACGAAAGCACACAAGCAAGGCGACCTCAAGTAGGCTCAGAGATCAGAGACACAACAGAAGAGGTGATGGGACCAGGACACCAGTGAAGGACAACAGCAGGGTATCTCTCCTGGAGGCAATATGTGAGCTAGAACTTGGTGCCAGGGAAGAGGCAGCCATGGGGAGGGCTGGGGAAAAGGTGTTCCACGTAAGGACAGCATGTGCAAAGGCCCGAAAATGGGGACGCTGATGTGGCTAGAAAGACAACTAAAAGAGAACATGGTGGGGGGCACCTGGGTGACTCAGTGGGTTGAGACTCTGCCTTCGGCTCAGGTCATGATCTCAGGGTCCTGGGATGGAGCCCCATGTCGGGCTCTCTGCTCAGTGGGGAGCCTGCTTCCCCCTCTCTCTCTGCCTGCCTCTCTGCCTACTTGTGATCTCTCTCTCTATCAAATAAATAAAATCTTTTAAAAAATAAATAAAAAAATATAAAAGAGAATGTAGGGAAGATGAGGTTGGGAGGTGGGCGGGGCCTAGAAGACAGTTGGTTTTGCGGAGAGGGCAATGGGGAGCCTTGGGCAGACTGAGAGCAGAGCCTGGGCAGGAATTACAGAAACGCACCTCAGGCTTCCCCAGAAATGGGCTGGCATCACCTACCTCCCATGAGACAGATGATGACACATGAGGTTCACAGGGACTGCAGAATGCCCCAAGGTCACATGGGTGGCAGAAGTCAAAGCAGGGCAGCCTGGAGCAGGTGCAAGAAACTTCTACATGCTGGGTGTGTTCCCAGTGGGGGAAATCAGGGTGAGATGACCGGGTTAGAGGTTCATGTCAACCCCCCAGAGCTGGCAGGGCCCTCCCAGCCAGGAGTGGGGAACAGTTTACCACCAACGGGAGCTAGGACCTGGGTGATGCCACACACACACCCCCCAGCTACTTGCCCAGCCATGGAAACCAGAAGCCTTCTAGGAAGGGACTTGAGCTGATATTAAGGACCAAATTTAGGTCCTCCTTGAGCTAGGGGAGATATATGACAAGGAGTGGACTGGGTGTTTCAAGAGAGGTCAGGTACCGTGCCTGGAGCCCAGCAGAGCTCTTGAAGCTAACCACCCGATTGGGCCACATGGGATGCACAAGCTGCAGGGTGTCCACGGCACGACCCCCAAGTGTAAAGGCAGAGGAGCGCTGGGGTTTGCTAAGCACAGCTGCTTGGGGACCCCCAGAACACTTTGGAGGTACAGTGGGTATTTGAGGCAGTAACACTGATGTCCATACTACAGATGGGGAAACTGAGGCTCAAAGAAGGAGGCAGACTTCCCAAGCCGCCCAGCGAGCAATGACCTCAAGCAGCTGGGCAGACGAG